AGCTGAGTGCCTAAGCAGAGAGGGAAAGGAAGCGGAGCGAGAATAAATATGCTATTCCCCGTATCGCTCTGTTGTTCCTCTGTTGTGTGGGTGTGAGGAGGAGGAGGGAGAAGGAGAGAGAGGGAGGTTGCCTGTGGTGTGTGGTTGGGGGGGTCAGGGAAAATTTGTGCCACTGTGTGATCAGCCCGAATACCCGCTGATAAATTACAACATTGTTGTATCAGCAGCCTCCTCACATGTTCACAGTATATTTGCATTAGTGCGTGCACACAAACAAGAGAGCGCTCAGCTGGATGTTTGTAAAAAGCCTCTGAGGTTTCCGACAAGACGCATCATTGGGCCTCTGATGAAAGACGGTTTCACACCATGAGCTCTTTTCTGCTTTCAATCATCATGTACTAACCATTTAAAATGTATGAGGATTAAAAATTAAATTCACCCTATTAATGGTAAAATAGAAAAAAACTAATCAAGTTACCATCCACAGGCTTGTGTATTGAAGAAATCTAACAAAAATACAATATATCTCACAGTTGCAAATGAATGTAAAACCATGCATGATTGATTATGGCATATAAAAGAATCATTGCTCCTCTATCCAGTCTATCCAATATAAAAGAATAATAATCACTGTAGATGTGTGATTCTTTAGTTTCTTTAAATAAAAACGATCATTTAAAAGCTCTAATTTCCCCCAAAATTAGCTGATATCCACTGCACAGCAGTCTGGGATTAAAACCATACACATCTGTTGATTTGTTGGTATTTGAAAGACATTTATTCTGATTCAAATTTCCACTCACAAACTGTCTCCCTTTCTTACAGCACACCCTCTAGTTACCAAAAGCACACACATGCACAGTATTCATATATTCAGTCTTTCAAACTACTCGCCCACGAGCAAAGACAGATGCACGCAACCCCTTCGCAATTGTGTTCCAACGTGAAAAATCAACTCGGATTGAGGCCTGCGATCTTTGTTGCCGCATCACTGCACATCATTGTGACATGAGAACGAAGGAATGCTGATGTGAGACTGGCATTCATAAGGAAAAAAAAGCAGAGACAAAAGTAAAAGTCTGTGACGAACATGAATTTACATTCGATTTTCTTCTGTCTAAAGTGAGTTTATTACAAAAGGCTGTTTTATGAAGTTTGTGACATGTGTAGCCAGTTGACAGTTTGGAGGGTGACGAAGAGGGAGATGGCCTCCCCTTTAAATTGAAATTATAAAATGTGTATGCACATGTGAGCAGCCTATAGTTAATACTACTATCTAAATTGTACTTTTCTCACCAGAGTGCATTGAAAAGAATACCCTCTCTCCCATCGGCCATTAAAACATCCATAAAAGAGTTTACCATCTTCAGTAGGCTGCCGGGATTCATCTTGAACTCGCTACAAACCCCTTCTCTTCTGTTGGGGTGTTGTCCCGCACATCCTCGACCAATTTGCTACAAAAGTCTGTGGAAATCCTCCCAAGTCCACACTCACACACCCTGTTAAATGTCAACAACTCCCCCACCGAGTGTGGGGATGTGTCGTACCCTTACAGAAGCAGCGACAATAGTTTGAGGACGTTTAAACATGCCAGACAACCAGTCGCTAAATCATGGCACAAAAAACAAAACAAAATCCTGATGCCCTGCAACACAAAAGTCCATCAGCTTACATTCTTGGGGAGAAATGACATATTAATTGCTAATAGGATTGTGGGCCTGCTAAACAAAAGTAAAATGAATGCCTCCGAGCCTGAAGCAGAAAGAAAATTGAAGTTGACTTTGAGAAAAAGTAGTGAGGAGGAAGTGGGGAGAGCATGCAAATGTGGTTCTTAGTTTCCTTTTGGACTGGTAGCTCTCATTATCACTTATTAGCCCCAGTCGATGTTAAACAGCCTTCCTCGTTAATTTGGGCCGCTGCTTTAATCAAGAGTTGTAGCTGTACCACAGTAGCTCTTTTTTTCTGATGCTGACGACTGTACAATGTGTCTCTGTCGTTTACCCTGTTAGAAATCAAGAAACATGGGGGGTCAGTGACAGCAGGTCATTTTTGAAGTGGATAGTCACGCTAATCAGAAAGTGTGTGTGTGTGTGTGTGTGTGAATTCCTCACTTTCAATGTGTACAACAGGTGTACAAGGCTTTTGTCCTGCTGTCTTTCAAGCAGGGAATTAATAGATAATAATCTCTGGATCTTGCCATCTATCATTCTGTGTGTGTGGGTGGAAATATGGTCAAGTAGCAGATAAATTCCATAACTGTCCAACAGAATATACAATCCTGTGTCTGTGTGTGTTTATACAGATGCATGTACCCATTTGTGTCTGCACTTCCTCTCAGCATCACTCCGTTTTGTCTCGGAAGATTAATGAGGTGTGTTTATCAGTCCTCCGGTTTCCCTAATCAGGCTGCAGGTGTCTTCTCTCCCTTCCAGCTGCGGGACAGCGAGAGGAGATGGCAAGGAGACGCCACAACAACGGGTCTAAAAATGCACACTAATCCCTTTCCTCCTATTGATCTATTTCTTTTTTTTACTGGAGGCAGCGCTAAATGCTATTGGCAGGTGCAAATAACTGTTGACACAGAAGCAGCCTTATCTAAAATCAACGTTAACAGACTGCGAATGTGGAGCCAATTAAAAATAATGAGCTGTGTGCGGTGTCCATGCCCCAGCCATATAAGCGACTGATATAATAAACCTTTATTACAAATTCAAATATTAATTTTAGAGCAGAAAATGTTCACGTCTGCCTGAACATAGATGTACAGTAGCTCCCACCCAGCTGATCGGAGGGCGAACACAGGACCCAACAGACCTCGACACGTTGACTCGTCACAGCAGGAGGAGCGCAGTGTAACTAATAATGTTAACGCTGGCCACGCTTTGTGTAGAAGGCTCAGTGAGCCTGTGTGCAGATGAACGGGGGGGTGGAACGCAGATGTGTCGAGATACTTCACAGTGGAGTTATTAGTAATAACCAATCATTATCAAGTGTCTTTGATAAAAACATCATCGAGATCGCAGACCTCCATCAATGCTAATGACCCATCTTGCCACATTGAAGAGGTTCTGCAGTCTGAGTGTTCCTGTCGACAGACCGTCACACAAACGGCAGTGAAAACATAACCTCTCTGCTGGAGGTGACATTTATCTTCTGGAGAAAAACTACACGACAGAGATTTACTTAATGGATAAAGACAGAAGTTATGATTCAAATCACATACTTCAGTCGAGACACTAGTGTCACGCTCCAAAATATCTGCTTGACTTGTTTATTTGTGACCCCTGCGTCATCCGACATTGAAATAATGCTCCAACGTCCTCCTTCCTCAAAGATACAGGGGCTGCCCCCCCCCCCATCTCCCAAGTATAGCAAAGATGGCAGCCATTGAATGTGAGGAAGTTTGTGAAGTGCGACCCCGTTAATGTTTCTATTTTATATCGCACGCGTGAAAAATGATCAGTTAAAGTTCGGTTTGACACGATCGTGTTCATTTGGATTTGGCAAGTTCACAAAACAGCACTTTACAAGAATTAACCTCCCTGACCCAGAGGCTGGTACATTTTTAATGTTTGACTTCATCAGTTTCATCGTCTCTGCACAGAGACGCAGTGCAGAGCAGTGTGTCCAAAGATTGATGACGGTTAATGTCTTCATAAAATAAACAAGGAGAAAGACTTTTGAAGTTGTGAAAGATTTATAGTTATTTGATAGAATTAGCATGTGCCTTAAGTGAGAAGTTTAAATCACTTGTGTGCTTGTCTGTTGAATTTATGAAGCTATTATGACTTGACTGTCTTAAAAAGTATAAAATGTGAGAGAGGGAAATATACCTGGATTTGAACTGTGGCTCTTAACAATTGACTGATTAGGATTTATCTAATATCGATTACTCCTGTTCAGTTATTGATATTTTATCTATTACAATTTATTTTATCAGATTCAACATTTATTTTTGAAGTGGACTTTCCTAAGCTCTGTATAAATTCAAACTATGACTTGCTTTGTATTGAAAAATGAATTGCATCCAACGTAAAATTGCGTAACGAGAATAAAACTTTAATTCATCGCCATCTGTGAACATGATTTGTGTCTGAGTCACGTCAGGTAGATTTTCATCAGCTAAGGATGTGAAGACAAAAACTCCCATGATCCCATGCTGCATCACAACGTCATCAAACTAAACATTTTTTAAACAACGTTCTGGGGCCTGCAGGCATAAATCATCACACACAGATTCAAACATTTATTAGATAAATTGCATGTGCCCGGTGTCAGGGAAATGTCAGTGGCCTTGAGGAGCAGCAACATGAAATACAGAACAATGTTAAATGTCATTTAGCTCAAATGCTATTATTACAAAGCATCCTGTCCAGCCTGGCTTGATTTGAAATACACAGAGATGTGTGTGAATCTCCCCAGTGATGCTGCGAGGAGGAAGCTGAATCATTGTTAATTACCACAGAGTGAAAGAATGTAAATGAAAAACGTTCATGGCCGAAAGGCTTAGTGAAGGATAAAATTAAAAGAGAACAGCTGCTAAATTAGTAATTTGTTATATAATTGGAAGACCACGCAGAGATTTGGAAAAGACGTATAGGATTCATACATGTTGGAGGTTTTGCTTCTCTGTGTCTGATCTAATGTTCTCTTCTAATTGTGTCCTTTCATGTTTAATATCTGATTTTTCTGTATCTTTGTTGATTCTTCCTGACGCACCAGAGTGAAAATGAGTAAGAGGGATGGATGCAGAGGTTGAGCTCACTGGGGCCTGTCTGAGGGCGCTTCAGTGTTATTTCTTTACCACTTCCTCTCATTATTGTTGTAAATGAACTCTCAGACTGATTAATGAAAGGAGTTGAGGCAGGGCAAGAGCATGAGAATGTTACTGCATGATGCCCTTTGTGTGTTTTACGCTTTTAAATGTTTTTCTTTCTTACATATGGTTTAATATAATCTCTAAATGTGGAGATGATGCTTATTTCCTTTCGTTCCCACAGCTACAGGACTTCCTGGATCCCCCACCAGGGGACACACCCGTGCTCGAACCCATCATGACTCCAGAAAGAGGAAGAAGCTGCAGGTGAGGATGAATAGTTTGGTTAAAGGTGTCTACTGCTATGTTTGCAGAAGTGAGGACAAAAGCTCAAGGGAGTGTGAATGGTGTGAGCACCAGGAAGAATTGAGAAGCAGTTGTCTTATAAAAAGTGCTCTGAGGTGGGGGGGAATTAAATGTGGAGTTTAACAGCACATCTGCTCAGCACTAACTCACTGCAAGTACTGCTGGATTAATCCAAATCTGTTTTCTGCATCTAATGATGAACTGCAGCAAAGAAAATTAAATAAAGTGAGTTGGCATGTTTTTTTTTTCTCTCAAAGTTTAAGATACAAATATGTTTAAATCACAAAAAAGCAATTAAATGTCTGACGTTCAGGATTTAAGGGGAAACTACTGACACAAATGGAAGAGGGAAGAATCATTGTGTTTACGTTAACTTAGAACAAACTTAAAGTTAAATCTACACAGGAAATTGGGGGCGAGGCGAGTTTTCAGTCGGTTTTCATCTTCAACATCACTGGATTCTACTAAATCCTACACACTGAACCTCAAATATCAAAGATGAAGCTTTTATAAGTTTGCAAAATGTGTGTAACCACTGTAATTTGGTTTAAGGCCATTCCAGTGGCAGTGGGGTAATTAAGATGGAAATCTAAGCTAACTCTCTTAAAGCAGATCCTTTTAACATTAATCTGACTCTGCAAAAATGCCGCATTGTTAAACATATTCAAATCATCTTCCCCCGAAGCAAGTGAAGCGGCAAAAACTGTTTTGAGACGTGGGTAAGATGATTCCTGAACTCCCGGTGCTACGTTCTGAGCTGATTACACCATTCCACAGAGAGAGAGGAGCATGAAGAGCGGGCGGGGTGGGTTTTTATTTGCCGTCCCACGTCAACTGGCCTACTTGATGCTGCTATAAAGGAGGAGAAAAAGAGGGAAGAGGAGGAGACGGAAATCACAGAGGGATTTCAAACTAAATAGATGGAGGATTGTTGCAAACTCCTGAGGAATCTCTTCCGTGACTTGTGTTGAAACAGCCGATTCGCACACAATCCAGCAAAGGATAGGAGAGAAAATTTGATAAACTGTTGCAAAACTAAGACGTTTAATTTTGACGCAATTTTCAAATCGAGTTGAGGTTTAACCAAACTGTGTGCAGGAGGTTTTTTCTGCTCAGATGATTTGACAACAACAAAGACGTTCTCAAAGCATAAAGGTGGTGGTGGTGCAGCAGAGACGCAGGACGTAAAGTATTCATTCACCTGAAGAGATCGTGTGTTTGTTTACAGCACAGCGACACCAGCGTCGGCGCTTATCACCAAAAGCTCTATTTGACATCCTTGTCAGTGTCTTCTATGCGTATGGCTCCGCTTTGTAATCCTGTGATATTTTCGTCTATTTTAGGAAGAGGCTGTGGAGTATATCCTGGGATTATCTGGAGTTCAGCACAGGTCTGAAAGCAGCAGAGATATTTTCACCAAGGTCCATTAATTATTCTCCAGGAAATTTGGGGAAAACGTTAAAAACGGAAATTATAAAAAGACTTTGAAGAACAGTCGAGTGTTTCTTCTTTCACCTGATCGCATCCAAGCCTTGTGAGTTAAGGCCGACAGGTTCTATACATCCAGATCATTGTGCTCTGAAGGTCCAGACACACAGACACACCTGTATGATGTAATACAACACAATAACCTGCAATACATTAATGACGAGCTTTTGTTGAGGCTATAACTTTCTCATGATGCAATACTTTGACATTTTTTTGGAAGTTTGTCCTTTGTAGTTTTGTATTGAGTGAAATGAAAGATTCTATCATTTGCCTCTTGGACACAAATGTTTTCTTTATTATTATTATTAATAATAATAATATCATCCTTAGACATTCATGGACATTCTCGGACTCCTGTGATCTTTTAATAATATATAAAGATTTCATCGTCTCAGCAGCGTCTGCAGTGAATCTATCAACTCGTGCTCAAGTGCTTTACGCTCAGTTGAACACACGCAACATGAATCGATATTGTTTATAACTTTTCTTTCAACGGACTATTCGACCTTTAGACAAGGGGGCTTATTAACTTTCACGTCGTGAGTTAAATGAGAAGATGGAGCCCGTCTGGGACTCACAGTAGATGCCTCAATAATTGATAAACATCAATGCAGCAGAACCACAGATATTGTCAGTTTTTATTTCACTTTCTTTCTTAGTCAAAACCTGGATTCTAACTCAACTCGACAGAAAAGCTTAAAGCTACTGGCCTTGAGCAAAGATGAGGAGCGGTCCGTCCCCCATATCCTCAGATTTTCTTTTTCCACTGTCTCCAACACATGATACATGAATGGACATCAATTGATGCAGTTCATTTAATTTTGGGAAGCTCGCTCTAGAAAATAGATCCATGTAAACACACCACTGCAAGTAAAGTGAAGTAAAAATGGCTAATTTAGATTAAACTAAAATATAGTGCAATATATATATATATATGTTGAATGCATCTGCTAAAATGTTCCTTGTTGATTTGATTGTTTAGTTTTTTTTTTGGGAGGATGCACTTTTATGCTTTGTATAATATCCTCAATGTGTTGTCTGTATTGAATTTTTAAAAATCATGAATTCATAAGGGAGATTAAATACATTACCCTTCAGGACTCTGCAGTTTTGGGTTGCAGCTGATTAGAGTTTTCATTTTGCAGGTCAGTTCTTCACAAAATTGAGCAGATGGGGGGAATCAGGGTCAGACTGAGTGGACAGAGAGTGGCTCCTGGTTAAATGTCTTAATTTCACATTATTAGCGTGTGCAGGGTAAATGTCAGTCCCTTCCACTCTCCCCTTCACTACGGCTTTGTGCTTTTAATTTCAGTAGGCGGCTGACAGCCAATTATCCACGCTGTGGCTCAGACAATGTATTAGACTTCAGCCTGAGAACGGTAGAAACCAAGAAAAACCAAGAATCTTCAAGTCACAAATCAACGACTCCATGTTTCGGTGTCAGATCCAGTTTTGTGGAGTTGTTGTGTGAGGAACATGCATTGTTTGGCTCTTGTGTTGAAACAGATGGTGCTGCCTCATTTAAAGTTTCTGGAAATGATCGACTCTACAGGAAATCCAAAAAAGTTATTTTATTTTTTATTTTTTTGCATGGTCAGCTCCAAGCGGTTGGCAGCACAACATGAGTTTAGATGGTCCTCCTCTCTCGTGGGCTCGGAGAGAGTTTGTTATTGAAGGCCAACCACAGTGGTGTCCTGTGGTAGAAGGTTTGACAGTTATTTGCGCAGAGTGTCGAGTGGATGAGAACACACCAGTGCTTAAAGTACAGGGGGGAAGCCAAGGATAGAACACACTCTAAGAAACTGTCTTCAATCCTTCTTCTTTCATAGCATCAGCCACTCTGCACAGAATGAAGAGCGATATTCATCTTGGACAGTTTTCTGTTTTTTGTGGAGCACTTCTAGGGTCCACTGAGCCAGAGGCTTGTCAGACATAAGTGAGTGGCAGCACATAGGGCACGCTAAATCATTTTAAGCCAGTGAAATCTGGCCGATTCCAGCACCGCTTGTTTGCTATCCATTTCTCTCTCCCTCCCGTGGAGGGACATGAACAGAACATTCAGGCGGCAAGTGGTCCAGCGACAAAAAGGGATAACGTGTGTTTGTGTTGAGTCGAGCACAGCGGGCGAGGGAGCAAGAAAGGAAAGCACAGCGATACACAGAAAAATGTTTTCTGTTACCAAAATACTTCTGTGGGAGTTTTTCCTCAGATACGCAGCTTTAATTGACCAGATGGAAAGTGAACTTAGGTGTTAAACAGCCCGGACTAGTTTAGTGGTATTTATAAGAATTAGCAAATTGTTTAGTGGGATAATATAAATCATTATAATAATTTTATTTATATAGCACCTTTACAAACAGGGTTTACAAAGTGTGTTGACAGACAAAGGAGACACAGGATACTCAGGGGAAATGACAAAACATGCATTCACACCCAGTGAACAGCAGTGAACAAATAAAATGAAAATCAGAAGACAACATCATGTAAGAACAGAATGGGAACAATAAAAAGACATTACACAACATGACAGACAAGCAGATAAATAATAAGAATAAAAGTAATTCAGTAACTTCAAATAAAGGCAAGTAAAATGGCTTTGAAGAGCTGAGAGAGTTGGTCCAACAAAGAACCTATTAAGTGTTGCTTCTATTTCTTAAACTTTGTGTTTCTTGAAACATTCACCAATTTCTCAGGTTTGGTCTTGGTGGAGTTATTTGCTCTTGAGGGACATTCTAAAGTTTTCATTTCTGTTTGTGCGTCCGTCTTTCTCAAGATTACTAACAACTGCTGAGCTGATTTCAAAGAAATGGTGGAAGAAAGAACCCTTTGTATTTGTATTTTGATAAATGAGCATTCATTTTTTCAGTGTGATGGAATAGGGTGTTTGCCTTGGCGGAGGTATGCGAGCGCTCCTCTAGTTAAATGAAAATGCAACATTTGGCCTCAAACTTACCAAGTTTGTCTTAAATTGCAAACCAGCCATTACACGGACACAGATCAAATCATCATGCGCTGTCGCAGTGTAGCCAGAGATGCTGGTAAACTTATTTTCACCCTAATTTTGCTCTGCCGCTCCACAGAGTGCCCCCTCTTCATCATTCCTTATCTTTCATTTCTGTGGCTGCCACCGCCGGGCTCACAGCGGCACACGTGACAGGACTCTCGGCACACGGACACGACAGAATGCTCCAAACATGAACCTGCACTGTGGTGTGGCCTTGTGAATATCACATCTCCATGGTAGAATGCCTCCACTCTGATAATAGATTAAGGCCAAACCCCCTGTCACATATAAAAAGAGAAGCTCACTCCATATTTTATACCCTGGGTGAAAAGTTTCCTCCCATCCGGCTGCACTGCCTCTCTCATGTGACGCATCCCACCATGCTTCCTCAGCTCGGTTTCAGTTAATGGGCACTAACTGCCCCAGCTCGGAGACTACAGCATTTGTCTGTGGCAGCTCCGCGGGCTAGCTTATGAATTAGTCAGGGCGCTCAGAGGGTAAACAACAACATAATTAGTGAACTCCACCATCACATTGTGCACACAGTAATAGGGAATTTGTTTCTTTCTGTATTCCTCTGAGACGCATGTAATCTCTGCACACACGTTGGCAGCGGAGCCACGGAGCAGGAGTGAAAGTGTAAAAAGCTTTTACACAATATCTATGTGAATATTGAAAAGACCTATGTTCAGCTTATTGGCAGTTTATTTCCACAAATTTGAAAAGTATTAAGGAATTAACTTAAGGGGGGCTTGACAATGATAGAAAACAAGAAATCTGCTTGTTAAAGATGAAGACGTCCACTGTCTATGACTTCAAATACTTCAATACTTAGAGAGAAAAGTGCATTTCACCATTGATCACATTCACTTCATTAAAAACCTCTTAATAATAAACATTTTGAAATGAATAAATTGCAGAGATGAATGTGTACGAGTGCACAAAGAAACTGTCCTCTACCCTGAGGATTATTTATTTTCCATTCGTCTCATCTATTTTCTCTCTAGATGCATCACCTCACTCTGTTTAATTAATTGATGCTGTAGACCCCAAGACTTAATGGCAGGTCAGACTTATCCGTCGCCGTCTCCGAGGCCTGCGTCGCCCCCTCTGGTCTACAGCGTTCACACATGCTCCGTCATCACTCATGTCACCCTGTAATGCACTGGGAGTAGCTTACGATGATGGATGGTCATCATCTCAATTACTTCCTCATTTTGTTTCGTGTCTTTCTTTCATTCTCTCACTCGTTCTCGTTCTCATTTATTCTACATCGCTTCATTTGTTTCACTTGTTTGTTTTTTCGGTTCCTCTTCACTCTTTCTCTCAGACCTGTGAGATTCGGCAGAAAGCTGCGAAGGTAACGACAACCGGCTTCCAAACTGTGACGCCTGGTGAAGTTTTCAATGCTACAAACAATGTGAAACGTGTAATTTGCTCCCTCGTGTGCAGCACTGCTCTACCTGAGGGACCAAATTACACATTTCATGGCTCAAAACCAAAAATCGGTGTCGTTTCTTGCGTCTCTCGTTCCTTCTGCTCATTGATGCATGTTAACGCTTCAATATCAAAAGTTCGTTTTAAAACAGAGTCATGAAACTGAGCTTTAATCACTGTCTTTACACAGAAATGAACATTTACTCATAGTGTTTTCATTTGTTTTCCACCAAACAGACAAACACTGGCTTCCCATATAAACCCTGCTCTGAGGACACAGTGAATCGAATCCATATAATGGCCGATGCGGATGAGTAGCGTTGGATCGAACACAGATTAAAAGGCTCTGAAACAAGGTCAGTTTATATGATTGTTCAGTTTAAACTGAAGAATGGTTCTTTTTCTACTCTCAAATGATTGTTAAACACAGTTACATGTGTTGATTTGAAACTGAAGAAGTTCAAACCTTAATTTAATGGCCTCCTCTAAAAGCCTATCTGCCATCTGAGCTGTTTTATTTATTATAACTTTCAGTATTTTAAACGAAATCTTGCATTTTTTTAGAAACCGCACTTTAAGCTAATTGCAACTGAACAGCTCTGTAATGGTGTTTCACTGTGTTTTTGTTTTAGTGGAGGTTTGTCAGTGCATTGTTGGCAATTGTCCATGTTGTTTAGACACATTTTAATTCCCTTGAGCCAAATTGCCTCTGGAGTTAATAAAGTTGTTGTGTTCTGTAACTCACAATTGTCTGAGCCATTGCAGGAATACCGGTGGGTGGGTAGTGGGTGGTTAGTGCATTATCATAAGGCCTGATGAACTATATTTTTCTAAGTTCTACCAAGAGTATCAGCTGCCTGAACCATGTGTTATTTGTCTTCTGCTGTGATTGAGTATCGCAGAGAGCGCGGTTATGGACAGGGCTATGGGGGATTGCTCGGAACCATCTAATATCGACACTATTACATTATACGTCAGACCTAATACTAGATACAAGCATTTGGAGATTCAGGGTATACTTAATGGTGGTTGATGGTTTTGAATATCCTGACATTCTGGGAAATGTGATTATGTGCTCTCCTGCCAATAGTTATATGAGAAGACTAATACCACCAATACTCTTAGTTTTCTGTGTTGAGCTCACAGTGATTAGGTCTCGATAAATCCTGGAAAAACCTCCTCTGGTTCTCCCTCAAAGGTACAGTAAGAAAAAACCACCCACCACAACAGCTTAATTTCAAACTGGGCAAGATAGCAAATAAGCATCATATAGTCTAAGCTCCGACAACAAATTGACTGAGGCTCTACAAATTTCTAAAAGAAGAGCTAAAACCCTCGTCTGCTGCTGCAGAAGGAGGTTCAGGAGTATCAGGCAGCCACAGAAGCCACAGAACAACAAGTGCTGTTACTGTTTCTCCAGCTTGGTTCAATTTAAGGGATGTAAGAGCAGCTCGCCAGCAGGGATATTGATGTATTGACCTCGGCTCTGGCAGTCCCACAAGTCACTATCCTGTTAGACAGAAGTGAGCAGCAGCAGAGTCACGAATCTAAAGCGTTTTAACAAACAACGCCTCACATGAAAAAGCTCCCTCTCTCAGATGTTAGTAATCCATATCATAACAACTACTTAGGTTCTTAGGAACATATATATATATATATATATATATATGTATATATAGAAAAGGTCAGCAAAGTCAATGTCTGCAGTAAAGGAGCTCATCTCCTCCACAGAAAACATTGCTCCTGAAACTCCACAGACACCCCCTCAGCAGTTTGCCCAATAACGCATCATTGTGATGTCACAATTCCCTACATTCCTATAATTTCTCAATGATGTGCACTCTAAATATGTAAATGCACAAATTTGGTGTCACTAACATTTTCTCATAGTCTGTTTCCTCTGTCTCTGTGTGTGCAACAGAGAGTGGCTGAGAGAGCTGAAGAAACTGGGCCACAGACAGAGGGGACAACCACTGAGCATGAAGTGATGTTAGACACAGCACAATGACTTTGACAGATCACAAATGCCTAGTAAGGGTAAAAAAAAAAGTGTAAAAAATAAAAAACCCACAAGAGGGCTAGTAGCCTCTCATACATATTTTTATAACTCATACAAGATAAAACCCCCTCAGGGCCAGAGGGCTGTGTTAAATAGATCTGTCTGCTGCCGCTTCCCCGCCATTTTGGAAAGTGCTGCTCTGTTTCCAGTGTGAGAACCAAAGAGCCGCTGAAACAGATTATTACATTTTGCATATTATTTCCCCTGCAAGCTGCGCTGATCAGATTGGTCATGGATCAGGGGGCAGACGTGTTTCGGCAGGAATAGATATTGCATAGCTTCTGGCTTCCCGGCCTTATTACAAACCATTAAAAGGCATTTTGCACTCTTCCTTCTTAATGCCATTTCCTTTCCCCCCTGAGAGGAATCTTGTCTTTCTGAATGGAATTCTAATCACGGCCCTGATGGTTTGTTAATGAAAAGTAAATAGAAGCAAAACAAATGAGAAATTATTGACACTGACAATACAGAGAGCTTTTCATTTGTTTCAGCATTATGACTTCATTTAATAATTTACTCTCACAAATTGTGGGAATTAATTTAATTAACAAAACTGGACAAAGATTTTCTGAATGAGAGTTATTCGAACTTGTGTAAATATTCCACAGTAGACCATTCTCAATTAAAAAGAAAATACACAGCACCTTTAGAATAAAACATTTCACGTTTCCATGTCTGAGGTGTTCCAGCAATCCAGCAAACATGAGAACCATATAGACACAGTCAAAGTGATAGGAGCAGAGTCAAGGACCGAGCAAGATAACGCAGGCCTCACCCTGCGGAGTATTGCTGCATACGTGTTACACAAATGCACAACTTTCAGTTAGGTACTGAACCACAAGAGTTGTGCCTGCAAATTATGAATCAACTATTGAAGATGTCTGGAAACAACAATGTAGACGATCACCATCACTGGCTGATTGGATGTATTCAGTCACGACGTAGCCTACGCCTCGTTCAAACAAATGTAGTGGTGTGGCTGTAGCCAAAGACAATAACTAATGCAGGTGGATTATTTTAGACTTGAGGAAATGCAATATTTGATCCGAAAACATAACTTGTATGTTATGTTGTACCTTTTTAATGTACTTTTTTTTTATGACTCCAGCTTAATGAGCTTAATGATAAAATGTTGAATCCATTGCAAGGAGAACAAATCTGAAAACGAGGTTAACGACATCATGAAGTCACACCAGAGTCTGAGAGTCACACATACATCCTAAGAGAAACCGTACTGATGCACTTTGACTGCAGCACCTTTTGTTAACAAACTGTGATTCCAAGTTGACCCAACAAAAGAAGACTGCCCCACTAAAGCAGAATATTCCTTTAATTTCAAATACTACTCAAATGCACCTTTTTAAGATTGTGTATCCTCCATCAGTGACAACACGTTACGCACCAACAACCCTGAGCACAAGATGGTGAAGACAAGTACACTTTGAGAACCACTTCTTTCTGTCTTATCAGAACTTCAATATATTTATTTTTCAAAAACTTGTGCACCGACAGAAGACGCCCTCCAACACAGCAGGTGAAAAACAAAGTAAGTGCGGCAAAATAAATCTTCAAAGTCTTTGCGGTGAACAAGAAAGAACAAGAAGATACATTTAGTTCCCCTGAAGGACGAACTCGTAAGTGGAAACATCTGCTCAATAATGTAACTACCAAAAATCATTGGAGGCCGGTGAAATACCTTGGTTAGGATATTGGCTTTTGATTCTCCAGGGTTGCACCGGCCCTGTAAAGGTGAAGCCAGTGACTGATGAGAGTGCTGGCTTGCTCTGATTTACACAAGCGTATTGATATGGGGACGCTTGATTAAGATGGTTTTCCAGCTCAGGGCCGGGCGGAGTGATCCATGGGAGACGTGCCACGAGCGAGCGGGGAGTCCGATGGATGCACTTGGAGAAATTAAAAAGAGGAGTATAGGCTATGGCAATTACAGGAATGATTCCCGGCAAGTGAGGAAAGGGGGCACGGCGAGATGTCAGTAGCATTTTAAGAGGCTTTACACTGAGCCACATCTGTGAAGGAACAATGATTTAGGGGGCGCTTTCCTTTCTTCCACCCAGTCAATCAGCTAAAAGCAGGAAAGGCCACAGAAAGCTCCCAGTGTTGTCTACGCCACGTTCCCTCCTCTTCATTTTCATGGGTGTTTAATCCCATTTCATCTTTGGGCAACAGAGAAAGGTTTTGCTGAGCTTGTGCTTTCACTTACAGTAAAATCAAGTACATTAAGTGTCTGGAAATGCAATATACAAATTATATATGCAGACACTTTTGTGAGGTGAAAACATCTCTACCACTTTGTGTTCTCAGGATTGTTTGAAGAGTAGGACTGTCAGGGTGGATGTCAGACTTATGAAGAGAAACATGAAGAAAAGAAATAGAAGTTGTTTTTTTACCTTTGGCATTACCTGTTAGCATTATAGCATTTAAAGTCATTCACTGGACATGAAGTGGTTAAATGCCATTTGGGATATTTCGATTACTCGTGTGCTATTTTGTGATTACCTTCATATTTAAATACCTTGAATGTCAGAGGATAGAGGAGTGAGATATTACCAGTCATTGAACTGCACATTTGAAAGTTTATCTTGAGCCTGGAGGAACACGGGAGAATTGAGCATTGAGGAGGAGAAGGATCTATCTGCATATGGCCGGTGACTTTCAGCAGCTACCTGTGGGCAATGCAGAGTTTCCACTGAGCTGTATGATCTCACCAGTACATGTAAATATTCATCTTTCTAGTTTTCCTTTTTCTGCATGATGCTTTAAGTCTCTGAGTGTCCCACGATCAGAGGAAGTTCAACGTGGTTTCAGTGCCAGAATTTGCCCGGCACAGTCTGGTGCGGTCACACACCTCTGATGCTAATTTGGCAGCTTCCCTGTGTCAGTCCAATGCAAGAAGTGTGGTGGTGAAGATCTAAGAATTTGGCCACCGGAAAGCAATCAAACGGTGCATTTGAGTGTCTCTTTCCATCCCAGTTACACAATTATTCACCAGTAATCTGAAAATGCAAACGACAAAAAACAAACTGAGAAAATTCCCATCTGATGGAATTAATCAGTAAAGTTAACGATGCTACAGCTCAGGTGCTTGGAGGATCGAAGAAGGAAAAATGCATAAAATAGACAAGCATTGAATTTAAATCATTTTAAAAAATGATTATATGACCTGAAAAAAATGGCCTCTGTGAAGATGAAGTTTAAAGAATATACAGACGGGCTATGATCGTTCTTACAAGCAAAAAACCCCAAACATGAACACAATCCTGCAGGAAGCTCTGCCCTTTGAATCCTCTGCAGAAATCTCTTATTTAGTGCGATGATTGTGCTTCACACGTTAGCAATCAGTTGCTCTACATTTTTATGCTACACAATGAAAGGACTTTGTGCAAATCACGTAAATTATTCCGACAAAACACTCAACTGAATACCAAACCCACCCTCATTATCCCCATCCCAACTGCCTAATTACTCCTCGTGCAAAAATACTGGGGAAAGAAGTTGAAGTCTGCAACTCTAAAATCTGTTGACACGAATATACTGTGGCTGAGCCTCTGGAAACTTTAAAGCTCTCTGTACCTTATGCAACTCATGTGTCTCAGCTACTTAATTCCTTCTTTGTGTTTCTTTCTTTGTGCCAGTTCAGTGTCTGACTAAATAAGACGGGGTCACTGCATTAAGTCATTGCTGTCATGCAGATTTCAGTCGAATGCAAACTAATAAAACTTCCACCTTTCCTGCACCTGCTTCACCTTCTCATTAGAAGCATCATTCAAACTGACCCTTATGTATTGCATTCGCATGTATAGACAGTTAGTACATCCAGAGGACTATAGGCTACTGTTTCAACAAGAGCATCTAAACATTTCAAATTAAAATGATTAGCATGAATATGAGTGTAATATTTCTCCCTTTAATAAGTGAAGTACTCCATCGATCAGCACTAACAGCTGAATAAGAGTGGTCAACAGTTCAATCATAGGGAATATATGAGATTATACATTGTTGTTGCTTGGGCTCATGGTCCCTTTTTCTTTCTAAGTAACTAGCAGCATTTTAATTCGCTGCCAACGATACTGCTGAGTGGCTTCATAAACAGAAAAGGACTTATGGAGTCCATAGGTGAACCTCTTAAATCACACATACTGGAATCCTTTAGGGAGACAACAGCAGCGTCTCCCTGCAGCCTCCCTCCTCCCGAGACAAACTGAAGAAGCTGCTCTTCTAAATCTCATCCAATCAGTGTGTGGGCGGAGTGTGGTGTACAGATCCATTCTGATTACAGACGGAGTCAGGGGTCAATCTGCTGGTTGACTGTCAGTCCTTCATGCGTGGCCATTTACGGGCTTAAAAGCTTTGCAGCATGATGAACGCCATCAATGTTTATAGTGCTCTTCGTCTTAATGTGGTGCCCCCCCTTTCAAGCACTCTGGGCCCTGCTTTTTAATTATGGCCGCCTTATAAAAATGCAGGGAGACTGGATTTAAAAATGCCATGGAAAGGACTGGGTGCAAAATAATGATAAAGTGTTTGTTAATAATAATTGTGTAGACATGCATGTCACTAAAACAAAGCAATTCATTTTGCGTAAGTGTGGAGAACACATCTCATCCATGTGAGGGCATGGACAGACAGAGGCAAGTGGAAAAATGTCCTTTTAATCAAAACCCTGTTCCAGTTTTTGGTTGATAGTAAATTAATTGTTTAAGAATGAATTCTGACAAATTGTCCGTATGTAGACTCATGTTTGATGCCTCAACCTGGGCAATTTGTATTTGTCAGAGTCCCTACGTGGACATTTCTCTCACTGTGTGATGTATCTTGCAGAAAAAAAGAATTCCAACTGACGTGAAGACGATGGTTCACAAAAGTTGCTGGCAGCAAAGTTTAAATCTTAATATCCTGTGCTCCCGCAGCAGCACCATGCTCTTTCCAAAAGATCAATAATAAACCACCAGACGATACATCAACATGCTGCAGCTGTAGCAGGACTAGCTGGTGCGAGTCACTGGTGACACGCAGGCTGAATTTGTAGAACTTTCAGTCATCCACATTGTTCATTGTGCTTCGATTTTGCCTCCATCAAAACTCAGGCAGTTCCACACGTCCCATAAAATCTATGTAATCAGCTGGAGAAAATGCATATCCGCTGCACAGCCCAAATCCCTCAGCAGCACATTTTACTTACTACCAACAAATTCAGATGGTGGCATTTCATGCATTACATTTTTTTTTGCCTTTACTCAGCCAAGACAAAGTTAAAATGCTCCCAGAAACAATAACCTCAGTATCCTACCTGCTTTACAATACTTAAATTTATGAGTTGAGAAGTTGTAACCGTCTCCATTTATTTTACAACATAAACTCTCGCTCTGTCGCTATTTTGCACCTGTTTATAGTTAATCAGCTGCTGAGCTATTTTAGTCCCACAGAGCATCCATTATACCTGCATGCTGCTCCAATCGATTTCAGTATTAGTGTGACCTTAATGGTCGTTGGGCTCAGTCCCTGCTGGAACGGTTTGCAATTGTTTCCAGTCTGAATCGGGACCCGTGCTGTGCTCTGCCTAAACAGAGCCTCGGGGGAGTCGTTTTTTTGGTGTGGAATTTGGCAAAAATTGAGCTGCACCTGCGGGTCTTAAGTTTAATTTTCTGGATTTTTGATCCATTCACTGTGACTTCATGACATCATGACAGGGACATAAATCAGCGGGACAGAGTGAGCGGGGGAAACAGCCCATAATGATCACCAGGTGTAACCTGGAAGGTGTCTGGACTCCCACAGAGGCCGACCGGACTGGAGCACGACATCTGGTCTCTGTGACACTTAATATCACTTTATGTACAAGTGCATACATGAAAGTACTCTAATAATAAATCTCATGTCTACTGCAGCGACTTGTTTTTGTGTGTTTCCACCTGCTATAAGTAATTTTGTCATCATGTGTGATCACGTTGTTTTGCAGAAATCACACGAAAGGTTCACATCTTAAAGTTGAAAGTGTTGCTCGCTGTCTGTTTCTCATTGTTCTTCTTGTTTATCTGCACAGGTTCATGGAGTCACTCTTTGAAGGCTCTTGTGAACCTTTTGCAGTTTAAAGCTGTTTTGCTTTCAGTCGTTTTAGCTTCTAACGTCGTCATTTTCCGCCTGAGCTGATTTATCGTACATCAAATCTTTGGTTACACAACAAAAACCTAAACTCTTGTTTAAAATGTGCAGAGGTAACTTCAAAAGGACTTAAAATAAAGAAGGAATCTAATATCTGTGTTGTATAAATACTAAGTAATATAGTTGAAAATAAAGTTAAACATTTCTAAAACTGTCCTAGATGTGATAGAACTCACAATTTTAAGTAAAAAACTGTGTCCTTCAAAACTAACGACTTTAGCAAAGAAACAAACTCTGAAATGATCCATGAATCTGACATGAATGGCAGCTTTAGTAACAGGGAATATATGTGAACTATTGAACGCATGGTTTTCTTTTATTTGTCGAGAACACATTTCTCTGGAGTCCGGGTCATGTATCCACTCGAACGTCCACATTCAGTCTCAGGACTCGTGCGTTCAGAATGGCATTTGACCTCTGGCATTATCAGTTTCTCCCTGACATTTGTTTGTTTACCTTTTTCCTTCTACTGCTTTGGGGAAGCTGATAGAATTTTAATTTGTTGAGCGATTAAAAGTGAACGCTCAGCACTCAGACTATTGGATATCAATAACTGTCTCAGTCGACAAAACTATGGAGCATTGTTGATACTGCATGGTATCATCACAGACAACTTTGTTGAATCCAGAGAGACGATAGTTGTTCTTGAAATCTGAGTTGGACGGTGACAAACAGCCTTTACCGCCATCCAGCGACTTACAATAGATGAAATACTCTTCTTCATTGTATAGTCCAACAATATACCGATAGTGTTTTCCACTTCTGAACAAGAGCAACATTTATTCATTGATCAAGAAGAATATATGGATCCCAGCTATTTCTGGGTATAAGGTGATATTTGCGCTTATTGGCCCGACCATCTCCAGACTCATAACTATTTTTAGGTAAGCACAATAGTGGCAGTTTTGGAAGATGTAGAATTCGTAGCATGAGCAAAAGCAGTAGTTGTATTAGACGTTTAATTGGAAGAAGTCGCATTTATTTTGTGGCATAAGAGCAGCAGTGGAATCAGTAGTTGAACAATAACCACACATTTAAGATGTTGTTTCTTAAGGGAATTAACAATTTACTTTTCCTTTTTACTGTAATGGTTGTTTTATTTAATACTGGTACTTTTATGCTATATGATAAATAGTGATGTTAGATCCTTTAGCGAGTTGAGCTCCTTTAGTTCAGTGTTTGAAACTTGTGGCAGCATTGAAACCAGAGAGGCTGACTGAAACCAGTTTTGATTGACTGTAAGTGACTCTTTGTTGCACAAGAATCACAGAGTGACACACAGGCAGGTGTGTGCAACACGACTGGTCATTACAGAGGTGAGCGCCGCTGTGTTGCATAGCAACGCAGCTTTTTGGCTGCAGCTTCTGTGGAGTTTACATTGTCTATGCGTCTCTGCCTTTACTGCTGCTGGATCCTGCTGTTAATTTTAAAAACGAGTGGGAAGACTTGATTTATGTTGGCATGGACACCCGCAGCGTCGTCCATAGAGATGTAGCAGTTATGAATTATACGTATGCACAGGCTGCAAGTGCAATTTATAGGTTGCCTACTGTGTGTGTCTCATTTTGTAAATTGCATCCTGTATATACTTTAAAATAAATATGTCTATGCATGTATCTGGTGGAATAAAGATGGTACATAACTTATTCTTTCATCATATATTATTATTTTTATCACCATATACGTTTGTCTCCGCTCCCCGTCACTGTTCTGTAAATGCTTTGCAGGAAGGTCTTCTCAGTTTCACAGACTTTTTTACTTTTATAAAAGTAATTAAAAATTGACTTGAGAACAATCTGCTTTGGCCTGATAATGGTGTCTGATATTTAAGATGTAAACAAGACTCAACTCACGTCTTATTATTTTGTTCCTCTTTGGAAACCACAAACAACAAGCTTATATAATAGGTATGTTTCTCCCTCCATGTTGGAATCAATCCAGGTAAAGACGTCTGCCAAGCTTGTAGATAATGCTTTTATGTAGGTCCTGGTGCTTTGGAATAATGTTCAATCATAAACTCCCATCTGCCAGCTTTACTCTTGACAAGGCCCTCGATGGTCTTTCGCATCCTCTTTGCCTATGATCTACAACTTGACTGTATCACGGAGCATCCTGGTCATTAACAACTTAAGAGTTCCATAGCTGGAATTAATAATGCATCATGTTTTGCTCAACCAACTCTTCCACAGCCCATCACCAAAAAAAAGAATTTTAAAGGGAAAAAGGTCCAAAGGCAAAGTGTGAGACAAGACAGATGAAAAAAGAAAAATATTTAAGTACTGAACGTCAGAAATGAGCGAAATTCCCACAGAAACAAAGCACATTTTTCATTTATATATAATATTTATGAAATATATAAAAGTATTAAAAAAAAAATCATCTAGTATAAAGCATAGTGATTATGTGTACATTAACCTCTGGGTGTCTTCAGGTCCGTCTCATTTCTCTCGTTAACCTGCTCTTCACTCCGCCGAGCAGCGTTAGAGGAATCCCCTCACTGATGGGGGTCGTATCGATTTCCAGGTCAAGAAAGAAGAGGAATGAGATTCACCCTAAGAGACAAATGTTGCAGACTGAAAAGACTTTTCTCACGGTACACACTTTGATTTTTTGAACACTAGTGTAACTAAACATCAGTGATGGCTGCATACCATTTAAACATGCCCAGTGGTCTTTAGCTGCACATCCCCAAAAGATGAGTTCACAATGATAAATGCACAAGAACACGACTCAGTGTAACCGAGGCGTCGTTAATATTATCAGGTCAAGTTAAGGATCCTCAAGAGCTGTCAGTCCTGCAGGAATTATCTCAACTTTGTTCAACCTTGAGGATAGGTCAAATGTCAGTGTGACCCATTTTTACAATGAGTCAACAATTCTTATGGTAAAGTTTCCTAATACGATAAAATGAAAAAGTGGTGACATTTAATATCCAATAGGTCAAACGCCAACTCTCCTGTGATATACTGATCTGTAAAACCGTTTTTCTTTGGCTATTATTCAACACCACAAACGCAGGAACCCAATATTGACAATATTTCACATATTTGCTTTGATACTGAATTGGTGACACAATCAAAGTTGCCCACCTTGAAAATGCGGAGGCTGTAAATCTTATGAGCTGCGATATTTAGGATCCACATTTGAGAATTTGTCGCTGTAAATCAGAAATGCACTTTATAGCTTTTCTAAAATCCCTTCCTCTTTACATATTGAAAATTGTACAAGCATTGTCAGACATGGGTGTAAAGTGCAACTTGACAGCGTGGCAGAGGTGTATAACCATGAAGCAGTAATTCTAGTTTTTTTAGGAGACTGTGCTGCCTTCTTCTAAGAATGTTATTTTTGGTTGAGCCCTTATCAAAGGCTTTTATTCAGCAAAGCATATTTCTAACTCTGCAGAGTGTTTGCAATATATTCATAGTTTATGTAATATATTCAATATTTCTCTGAGACCATATGCATCAAAGATCATGCAGTGCCTATTTATGGAATACTTAATACTGATGGCAAATTTTTCAAAATACTGACTAGTTTCGCTTGGTGTCATTTGTGCTACATCAAAGTCACAAGGTAAATCTGAATGTAGCTGATCAAAGTGATGCTCTCCGTCAAAATCCACCATGGTCGCATGTAGTAAAAGAGGAAACGAAGCGTTTAGCTTCACACGGCCTTACATTTGCGTGGCACTCACAGAACGGAGATAAACAATTGAATTCTGATGGTAACTTCAGCATTTCATGAATTATTAAATGTGGAGCAGCAGTCACTCAGCGGTGAGGAAAAAGAAATCAGTGCTCGGAAAAGAGTCACCTCAAAAAAATGAATTGGACTTCAGCTCCTAATGAAATGCTTGCTCGGAGAGGGAATGAAGGATGGGAGGTGGAAGTGGCTGAGCAAAATTGAGTGTGCGTGATGCAGTGTGAAGAGGTGGATGCACTGGATCTACTTTTCCCTCGTCCTCCGCTCGGTTTTGACTGGCATGGCTGTAACACGCATGAAATTAACATACAGTAGTCTGCAGGGCAAAGGTCCAACACCAAATCCTCTGCCTCTGACAGATAAAGAAATGCTTTGAATGTGAGTATGAGGGGGCATGAAAAGACTTAATTCAAACTTAATTGAAATAAATGATTTATAGTGCACACTAACTAAATCAAACAGGCACACAAAAGTTGTATGTCCTTTCCAAATCTAAACAAATGGTAGCCCCCGCCCCCGCACTTAAAGAAACACTTTAGACCTTTAAACTGTGTGAGTGTGGCTCAGGCTGCAATTTTCCATTCAAACCCAACCAAGTCTGAGAGAGAACTAATCAAGTGCAACCTGAACCAGACAGACTTTCTATTTTTAGCGTCTGAACCTGACCCTTCAAAGATTACAGGCACATGCAGAGAGAAAAACAAAGTAGATCTACCATCCACCCGAACCAGGCCTGATCCCTGCGGGGCCGGACAGACTCAGGCTGGGTAATCACAGAGTTAACTTCCAACCTTCTGGTGAATGAGTGAACAACTAAATACATTCTAATGCCTCAGCCAATGTTAAGTTTCATTTGCTAATGCTAACATGAACAGATCCTGAAAGATTTGTTTTTGTTGCAACTTGGACTCAGATGAGGTGATTTCAGTCCAGTGGTCAAAGGTGAAGGTCACAGTGACCTTATATGAATCTGGACAAAAACTAT